ATTTCTTTGCTGGTACGATTCTGGTTATATCTATAAGAGGGAAAGTTTGAAGAAAAATGATACCCTGATCATATAGACAAATAGTCTTTAGGCACTGACAGCTCTGGGACCTGATAAATGGGGTGGAGGTATAGCTCAGATGTGATGTATTGTTACCTTCACTTATCCAGGTTGTAGGTCTCACAGAATGGGAAAAGGCCCCATCTCTCCTACTCTGATGTTGTTATCTAGTTGTGCATTATTTATACTGACTAAAGGCCACGACTTATCAAACACTTTTTTCATTAAACACATCTTTGCCATTTCAACTTGTCTTTACCTACCGAAGGGCTTATTTAGCTCTTCTCAGTGAGTTATACAGATAAGTGAAGAAATATATATATATATGTGTGTGTATAAAACATCTCACAGACACCGGATGGCATTAGAATGGTAATTTTCTCTGCATGAAATAAAAGTTGTGTTCATTGAATATATGGTACAGAATTGTCAGTAATATTTCAAGGGTGCCTAACACATCTTTTGGCTAAATGTTATACGTTAAATGTTTCTTTCTACTTTAGATTCAATTATTTATACATTTTTATTTTATGAACATGAATGGCATTGCTAAACAGTGAAGCCCAAAATAAAAACAGGAAGCAAGCTAGAATGAGAGCAAAACTCCAGACATGGTATATCGAGGCTTGTTTATAAAATCAGGAGAAGAAAGTGTGGGGTGGGTCATGTCGGTGAAATACAGTACATAAGAGGACAGCTGGGCTACAATCCAGGCCTGAATTTGTAGTACCATGAATAGAATTGATTGTAGTTGTGAACTGTTCCAGTCTCAACATCTCTTTTCCCATAAGCAGTCCAGCCTGTTATAGGATACTATTAGGGGTTAACCAGCATTTTGGCTGTTTTTGCGGCAATTAAACCGACAAGAAAATTCTATTTTATACAACGTAATCAAATAATATAGGTAGATTCAACGAGAGGTTTGGACTTTTCTTCCATACTCCCAAAATGCTTTCAGTCCAAATGTACAAGTAATTTAATTCTTGGATCCTTGGAATCCAATTCTGCCTTTGTAGCTGAAGTGGTTGTTTTAGTAGAATTTTTCCAATCCTTTTAGGATTATTTGACATTATTTATCATGTCTCCCCTGCAATCACCCATATTCAAGACTGAAGTTCTTGTAGCCACTGTGTGCAATAGATTCCTTTAAGGTCAAGTATTAACCTTGTTACCCTTCTTTGAATTGACCCAAGAGCAGCATTGGTTCTAAATTGGAGACCATCACTGCACATGATGTTCTAGAACAGTGGTTCTCAAAGTGTGGTCCGTGGACCACTGGTGGTCCGTGAGCGTGCGCCAGGTGGTCCGCAGGCTGACCTAATTATCTTTCTTAAAGTAAGTCTACGCACCTCCATTCTTCACATTAATAAAAATGTAATAAAGTAATAAAAATGTGCAATTTTGTTTGTAAAAATATGAGTACTTTCATCAAATCTAATTCAATATTAATTTTAGTACATTAATAGGTGATGATTTTGACAGGGTAAGAAGTGGACGTAGGCATAGGTGGTCCACCGCATATGTGACTTGTAAGTTGTAAGTGGTGACTTGTAGGTGTAAGTGGTCCGCGGACCATAGAACTTTGAGAGCCACTGTTCTAGAAGACTCTTACCACTGTATTGGTTTACTATAATTTCCCTTAAATTCATGAATGCAGAAAGTTTATTGCAAATGCTATTGAACAAAAGCAACACAATTGATAGGCTATTTGGTATAAGAGGAAAGCTTGTACTGTATGTACAGCATTTTATATTCTCCTAACAAAAACAATTGCGAAGAAGTGATGTATCCATTTTATGTATATCTCCCTGTTTTATCAACTTTAGAAATGTCATGTTTGGAAATGAAGTCTTGAAGTATTATAACATGATGGATGAAAATCAAGCGGATGAATTTTGCCAGTTAATGAGACTGGCATACTGTGAGATACATCTTTTAAGAATCTGAATTTAATCTCCTTTCATATTAGAGATAAAAAATGTGAAGATTTTTTTTTTCATTTCTACTTTGGATGTGTTCCCTTTTTGAAACAACATTTAAAATGTATTTAGGAATTTGTCAAGCCTGTTAATGATAAAACGTGGTTTTTAATAAATCCTGTATACGCAGAACCCATTATAATGCTAATGTACATTGCAATAATTCTGCTATCTATATGAACAAAGATGGAAGTTCTTGTACATTGTTTCAAAATGCACTTCATTGAATTACCTTCTTTTCGAATATTGCCATGATCTGCAGGATGGGTATTGGATTTTGTGGAGCTCTTTAACCTTAGAAATATGAAAAAAAAGTAAGTCTCCTCAAAAGAGTGAATTATATGTCAATGCTGGGAAGAGGAACAGAAGCTGCAGGCCAGTTTTAGCCAGCAGTCATAATGCAATCAATCTTTACTGTCGCCAGAGGGAAGGCCAGGTGAGACAGAGGTGACAGCTTGAAAGCTGGGTAAATGATGAGGGCTTCAGACCACCTTCAAATCTAGAAAGATAAAATGAAAACATGTTGGGAAATACTTAATAAATGAGGAAAATTTATTGCCTATAGCACAGGAGATAAATGCCTTAGTTAGCGATGGCCATGAGGATACAAAATGTTCCATTGCTCACATACAGTAGTTTGAATGTTTTAATAGCTGTCACACCCAAAAAGCAGTACTTATGTTATTAACCCTCTTTCCTGTGATAGCCATTACTTCAGAAACATACGGGTGACAGGAAACTAAAGGTACACTGACCTGGAAAAGGCTAACTGAGATAGAAATCAGCCAGAACAGAGAGGGAATGAAATCAGTGTACTGTATAGCACAAGTAAAGTACATGTACAAGTTGATGTACAATCTGTGCCTTCCATATATTTTAGGCTTCATGTGAAAATACTAAACAAATGCTAAACACATTACACTCTTGCTTCTTTCTGTGCTGAGATATTGTATTTAAAGATGTTTAAACACACATGTCCAAAACAAAACTTCCCGGAGTCTGGAATTACCACATTTCAAACTATATCTAAGCATAAAAACTAATGTTTTACAATGCTGATTTTGGAGTTACCTCTGTATCTCCTGTTTTTTATGTCCCAATAAACTCTTAATTTAGCTTCACGAGCCTTGATGTAAACTGCTCATAAAAATCAGCTTCCAGTCCTGCATACAGCATTAAGAGATGGTTAGAAAATGGCATTTGCCCTGTGCCAGAAAGCTTCTAATGTGGGTGTATAACAGAGTGTCATCACACCTGTGAATATACATACAGTAATAAACTGACAACTAATCAGCTGTTTAGACACCTTGGAGCAAGCAACACCTTTAAACCAAGCTGAAATAAAATTGTGTTTGCTATATTTCTGAGAAATAATGCAAATAAAATAGATTATTTCTGAAACTGAGACCTATGTACAGAAAACCAAACAGATGGTTCTGCTTTTGTAGACTTGTGTGTGTTTGTCACTGCATGTGTCCTGTCATGGTCTTCAAATTTGGTATGAATTTATGATGCACATATTCACTGCTGCGCCGCACAGAATTGGATGAACTGCTTAGAAAATGGATGGGTGGATATTCACTGTTATACCTGGCTTTTAAGCGCCGCAATGTTGAAATCCTTGAATTCTTTCATTTTTTAATGCACATTTCAGATCTAGATGTTTCTGTTTATAGATTGTCCAAGGGTCATTCTTGCATCCCCACAAAACAATAAAAGGCCACAGTGGAATGTAGTAGCCAAGATGACCAAAGCACAGAATAACAACTTGATATACTGTAATTCAGCCATCAAGATATAAATTCAAAAAGCCAAGCCAGCTCATTGTGGCAAGAGCAACTTGGTTAATATGATCAATAGTCATTTCTCGAAACTCCACATGCTCGTTGGCAATGTCCCTTTTGAAAACCTTTTATTCACCTTTGCTGCCATTGCACCTAAAGACTGCTTTCTGGTCTTTCTATTTGGAGAACATTCATCTCCATTAAATTAAATCAGATGTCTTCTTAACATGCAGCAATGAACACTAGCAGTGCCTACTCTGATATCTAACTTTGTAGCTGGAAAAGGTCATACTATATATATACAGTATATACATTATATATATTATACCCAGTGCATCAGTATGGACTAAATTTTGTGTTGAAAGCACTGGGTTCAGGTGTTCAGATGTCCAACTTCTAAGTATTCTTAGGTATTCTCTGGAGTACTCTTAAAACTACTAAAATTGAAAGCAAGGAGAAGCAGCCTTTCCTGGATATGAATAGAGCTGTCTGTTACACTGGCACACAGAGCCAGTTTAGAGGATCCACTGCTTCAAAATTTTGACAGCTTTGGACGATTCTGTGCTTGGTTTTAGAATAACTGAATTACAGGAAGTGCCTGTTTTCTGCTTTTTTAGTTTTTTGGTAACCGGATTATAACAGATGAAATTAGGGCAAATGGCATAACACAATTTGTGGACTTACTGTAAGTAAAAAATATGGGGTATGAAACACACTACGCCAAGTGTCCCTATCAACATCGCACAGTACTTGGGACAGTAAATCAGCAGTGAGACCCACAGTCATCAGTTTGGCCATAAAGTTTAATGGGCCTGTTTATTGTGGCCAATATTGTGGCACCGATTTGTCACATCTGCTGTCTTCTTGTAAAGCCATTCAAAAGACTCATTGTATAGGAAAAGGAGTGTACATTGTTCACTAAGACGCCATTGCAAGCTTTCTGGTTCTGAAATGTCACGTTTTTTTCTTCCTCCTCACCATTTCTAAGCAGCGATAGAGAAGTCCCGCCTCATTTTATCAAGTCTGCCCTGTGAAGAAAACACAGAAACTGGAATGTTAGAGGCTTTCTATGTTTACATTGATGAGGTGCCGAGGTGTTGAATAGTTATATGTTTTTGCAAGAATGGCATTATCCCCATTTATTGTTATTGATATACGTTCATATTTGTGTTTTCAGACCTGGGTCATTGTACACGGAACAGAAAAGAGGACTGAAGAATCGTCTTCTTTTCGGACCAGGTCAGCTGAGTTTTAGTTGAGCTCCCATGTTTTATGGATAAAGAGACGATTCTCACGCGGTACTGTATATTAACAATATGAAGAAATTTGTTCTGCTTTTTTTCCTTCTGTAAGCCTATACAGTGGAACATTTGGTGGTTCATCTATTGCACACACAGACGCACACAAAATAGCTTAAGCCAAAGTCTGCCTCTGCTCACGTGTTCATGTAGCCTACTGTAAGTAATCTGTGGAAGAGTGGTGATTGCTATTGATTTTTCTGAGGTCCTTTAAAGCTTGATCCGTATGTCAGACCTGTGCGAACGCCCTGATTTACACCTTCGGATTGGCACTCGGAGTTCCATCTTTGGGATGCATTCCGTACACAGCCTTCCAGCCACAGGCGCAGATCCTTAGCCACAGAACCATGTACAATCAAAATATTTACTTTGTAAGATTTAATCTGATATGGTGCTTCATACTGATATTTATTGCATATGCTAAAATATTTAACAACTTATTAAGTAGTTTCCTTCTGAGCAAGTTCAAACAGATACTTGCTATTCTTTGTTTTTGCTGTTCCACCTAATGTAGAATGTATTTGCATCTTTTTCAATGCATGAAATGGAGCTCTAGGCACTGAGTCATAAAAATATAAAGAGCAAAAGTAATTATGTCTGGAAACAATGCTCTGATATCCGGCTTCTTCCAACACCCCAGGGAATTCCTGTGATTAGGGGCCTCCAGCTAAATGATATTTGCTAAACAAGCTGGGAGTTCCACTCCTCAACCATCATCTTTCTTATTTACCACACAAAACATGATTCTGCTTAATCTGCATTTGTCACACAGGTGATGTTTCGGCTGTGTTTTCTTTTTTGTGCACAGCATTGATGGATTTTAGCTGATATCTACAGAGCTGTTCCTGGCTGTAAGGAAAGCCACCAATTGAGAATGAAAAGCACAGTGGCTATTCCTCTCATAAATGTCAACACCTGTTCACCCCAGTGAAAGATTAAAGGATACTGTGCATTATTGTTCTGCCTCTTCTGAGATTTGAGATGAGAGAATCTGTTGGTCGATGCATTACTGCTTTCTCTCCTGTATGCCCTGTATCTGTCTTCTGCACGTTCAGGCTCACATGGACACAGGATGAATCATAATGCATGCCTGGTTTCCTGTCACAGACATTCGTGATTGAATGACAACTAGAAATGCAGAGCTATAAATTTGTTTTTTTTTTCCACTGAGAGTGAAAATGAAAAAGAAAGAGTTAAAATAATTTTAACAGAAGTACAAGTAAAATAGGCTCATTCCAAAGTCAGTAACATTGAAATTTTTGTAGAAGCTAGTTGCTATGCTCAAGATTTTTAGCTATAGAAAGTCTTCAATCAAAACAAGGGAATGTATGAACAGTTGCTGGACACCAAATTGTTATTAAATAAAAGACAAACAGTTGCAGTAACTCTACTGGAATGACCTTAAAATGGTGGATGATTGTCCTCATTTATATCTAAAATGTATGAGAATATATATTATACAGATTATTAGTAGAAAGCTTTTTTGTTTGTACCAGTTTCTAAAGTTTAAATTTTAAATTGATAATGAAAGGAATAGTTTAATAACTGCCATTTTCCAGAAAAGACTATTAAAAAATGTTGAAGCAAATGTAAAAAAATCGATGGTCCCTTTAACTTAAACTATTAGTAAAATGAATTGTGGTTTACAAATGAGCATTTTCAAACTTCTTGCATTGCAACAATACTGGATTGATAAATTAATTGTGTTTCTGCAGAATAAAAATGTTCTTTTTTAGCAGCATATCAGATTTTGTAGACCTATTTGCTGACATTTTTTAAGGTTTTATTTGCTCATGGTAGAATTACTGTATATGTTTGTTATTTATACTGTAGCTGCACTGTTAATCAATTTGTGGGATGCTTTTCGGGTCTCTCATAGCCAAGCACTAATGCAATCGTTTAAAATGTGAATGTTCACTTCAGATTCAGAATGCAAAAATGATATTATGGCACGACTCCACATTCCCTCCTTCATCTTTATTAGTTTTTTTAAATTCATACGACTAAGCTCAACCATGTTTGTGAAGGCTTGACGTCCTTGGTTGTACATAATACAAAAGGCCAGGTGTTACATTTCCTTCCTAAAAAGTAACATGATCAGGTCCATGAATCCAGAAAAAACAGTATTTTAGACAGTAGACAAATTCGTATTTATAAACAGCGAATAGGAATTGTACTAAAATTTTGCACTGTGGTACACAACAATGAAACTCTTCACCAAATAATCCTTTACTGCTATCTGAGGAAATCTAGCTGTTAAAGAACAGTTTAGATGTGTTGTACAAAGTATCATATTCTTCTGGGATGTTTCCCAAACCCTGACTTTGTCTTATCTTGACCTCAGGTTTACATGTGTGATCTTCTTTCCCCTCTGTTGGCAACTGTTGTCTGCTGGGGCTTTTTTGGAAACTTGCCCGTTCTGGTTTGGAAGTTTGCTGGGTGCTGGTTAGGTACCGAATATTACAGATTTGTACCAAGTGGGTAGCTGCTAGCCCTGCAGTGTCACAGAGAGCTGTGCAAAGGAGAGTCTGCTCAGCTTAGCAGGGCCACTATTACAGATCGTGCTGTTTTGCATTTGTTCAACTTTCTCTCGCAAAGGGGGGGCCCCCGCTGGCTTCCTCTCTACAAAGCTGAGCTTGGTAAGATTCTCATATACAGTACCTTGCCCAGTGCATGGAAATGGCTTTAACCAAAGGGAAGTGGTGAGAACAACAGGAGGTCTGACCTGTCTACACAACGCCTTCAAAACAGTGCTGTTTCTCGTTTGCTTTAGTCAGTTTTAAATGTAAAAAACAGAAGTGTTTCTCCCCCCTTTAAATATTCAGCTATAGGAAACATTCGGTTAATTCTGCATTGGCGTTTTAAATTGCCTCTCTGATTTGTAGAACAACGTGACAGCAATCCAAAGAAACGGCAAAACAAAAAGAAACATATGAGTCGCTTTTAGCCTTGCCCTAGGATTGCATCAACAGCTGCATTTACAAAATACGCATTATTATCAGTGCACTGGTTACAGTTTCTTAGGGGCTAGAAATTAAATTGCAGAATGGAATGGAACAAAAAGAACCGGATGACAACTGCGTGATGCTTCTCTTTTCATTACTGAAGGCATTCTCATTGTCTGAGTCTGTGGTGGTAAGGTACTCACACCTCAGACGCTTACCCCAGCATCAGTATTTTCCATGCCCAGTTTGCTCAAAGCAGAAGCGTATCTGGGTTTCTTTGAAATCAGTTGACATCTCTTCTTGGAAGATTCAGTGACAGGTTGCTTTGTGGTTTTCTCTCACACAGGGAATTTTCTTGCCCACACTTCCCCCAGACCTCCCCCCACCTGTCTTTTTCTATTTCCCTTAAAAATAATTGAAAAGAGTCTATTGGAAGCAAGTCTAATTGATTTACCCCACTTGCTGCTTACAAAATGGTTTGACAGCAGGAGATACCAGGCTTTGAAATATTAGGCCTAGCTTGAAGGCCTCCATAAACCCAGTGTACGATTGCCAAGCGACAGGAGTGCCAATCAGACTCCACTGGCAGAGGACTGGTGGCTGCTTGGTAGCACAGTTTACTCTGTTGATACTGCAGCGTAGTTAGAAGTAAGGAGTGAGAGCCAGAAGCTGTGTCCTGCTCGTTTGAGGGTCCTTAAAATAATTGAAAGACTTGATTTGAGCCGGCAGTTTTCAGTACGTTTATAATAGTAGTTGTTAAAAACCTGTTGTATTCCTGTGTTGATAATACAGTACATCTGTAATGTATCCCTTAGTTGAAAAACTGCAGCTGGAGCAAATCTGTCATTTTCTTCTGTCATATAGACTAACATACTGTGTAATTTTGGCCACATTTTCAATCTTAATAATGGGAAACAATTTTATAACTCTGTAATATTGTACTAGCGTGTTCATTATCATTTCAATTATGAATATTAATAGTAGTACTGTGATAATGTTTTATGTCACTCATTACTTTCTTCTTCAGCAGCAGTGGGTTGGGCTGCTCTTAACAGGCATCATAGTTGGTTTGCCTTGTAAAACAGTCATACCTAATCTCTGGTATATTTCTTCTCCTACTGTTTTACATGTAGACATATGACAAGCTAGCTGACAGATTATTTGGCAACCTGTGAGAATGATCTTAGGGGTTGGACCATCTGGCGAGACTGCCTGATCAGCACAGCCTTCCCCATCTGCCTTAGTTTGTGTTTTCACAAGTCACATGACAGGAAACCCTGAGCGACTGCTTGGCACTGCCAGGGCACATCACTGCCCCACTAATTAAGAAGTCATTTAGTTGGCTAAACTCTGGGTCTGTGGACTAATGACTTCATACATAAGAGGGGAAAAAAGTAATAAAGTATAAAATTCTAGGGAGTGGATTCTGGATCATTTTCATGACTTCTTCCATTCATTTAAACCCTGTGTATACAAATAAGTCAGTATTCAGATTCCTCACAGTCTTTTTGGTATGTTTGACACCTTGGCAGGCAAGAGATGTAAATGATATTTTCTTAAGCAAAAGCTCTACAGCATTTTCACTGAAATAAAAATCATAACTCCTGCAATGAACCAGTTCAGAACTCAGCTTCATCCAAGAAAGGACCAATTGAACAGCTGGGTTCTCACTAAACAACCATTTTGCCTACATACTGTAACTGCATACTGGTAAGGCATTTGCTTTAATTAGTTTAAATTGCAATTATCGGCTATTTAAACTCTTGCAGCAAGTACTGGTAACTGTCTGCCATTCAGCTGGCCTACTCAATTTCATTCATTGTAAGTGATTGAAAATAGAATTTGTACGCACATTCAACAGCCAGCAGCCATGTCACCCTGCAACTCACAACTGGCAACCCACTGAAGCTAAGCAGGTGTGAGCCTGGTCAGTACCTGGATGGGACACCTCCTGGAAAAACTAAGGTTGCTGCTGGAAGAGGTGTTAGTGGGGCCA